ATGTTCATCATCTTTCTGTTTTTGCAATCCTGCTATTTGTACTCACTATTGTTTCCTCCCCCATGTGCTGGTTTAAATATTCCAGTCCCACTGAGATTTTTATTCCAACCTCCTCCCTCATCTTCTTTCATTTCTTAGACTTCTTTTTTTATCCTGTTTTGGTTTGTTGGGGTTTTTTTTTTTGCCTCTTAAAATAACGTTCAGGGACTTGAGAAACCAAACTGGCTCACATTACCACTGAGGCATCTCTAAATGGCAAATAAATAAGGGCTTTGAATAGTGACATTTACTCCAAGGGGATGCCAAAACATGACAACAAACAGCAAGATGAACACATTCATGCTCTTCATGCTGCTGTGAAGGGGACTGCCCTTCTTCCTCACCACGGGTCAGAGAGAAAGACCAGCAGAGCTGAGATGTCCAAGATTTCCCATCTGTGAAACCCCTGTGAAGAAAAATTGCTTTTGAAACTCATTTGGGCATGAGGAGCAGAGAAATCAAAACCTTTTGGGGGGGGGGGTCCAAGTTGACTATGACTTTTCATCAGAGGATAACCCAAGGCCAAGCAAAGATTGTTCCAGGCACTGTACAAGCACAGCTGCAGTCAGCCCCTGAGTTTGTCACCTCAAGAAAAGGAAAACCAAGGAAAGGTTTTATTTCAAAGCAAAATGAACACAATGAGGAGACACAAACGTTAAACTCTTGATGCTTTTTTTAGCAAAAGGAAGAATATGGGGCATGGAAATCAAGAGAGAGCACACAGCTACAGCAAGGGAGAAGGTGACAAGACAGCCAAGTATGAAATGGCACCAATGGTATGACTTGCAAAGCAAAAGGAAAGCAGAATGCTGCTGCACACAGCCCAGCCAGCACAGGACGTGGCAATCCAGGCAAATCTATACAGAGAGAATTAATATCAAACCTCAACATGCTTCTGCTCTGCCCAGCTGGCCTTCCCCTGCAGCCACATGACTGAAGCAAGCAAGACAATGCCCAGGTCTCATTTGCCTCTGGACTGGCCCACAACAGGTTGTTCTGAGGGCCCTGGGTGAAATATTCTCTCAGCTAGGGTTTAGGGGTTGTCATTTCAAAGCAGGGATCTGCTTCCACAGCTCATCTTCTCACTGAACATCAAGAAAGACTCTGCCTGGAAGGGACTCATCCATAACTGAGAAGAAGAAAAACTAAATGAGTATTTCCCCAGTGCTCTTCTATCCCCCTCACAGCCTTCATCATTCTGCAGCTCTAATGCCAGCTATGGGAGACATCAGGTTGAACATCAGGCCTCAGTATGGGGACAGTTTTGGATGTCCCCTCCTCAACCTACTCCAATTGGTTCACAGCTATCCATGGTTTGAAAGTGCACATGCAGCCTGTAAGCAAAGTGAAAGTGGTACTGAGTGGTTTCTAGCTCCAGGAAATAAAGGCACACATCAACAAAGCTTTAAAAAAGTCCCAACCAACCAACCAACCAACAACAGCAACAAAAAAACCCCACATGTTTTCCTCAACCCAGGTTTCCACATATGAATTGCACTGAAATTATCTACTTAGTACTCATCAGGGTGATGATGGTGGAATGACTGCACCAGGATTTCAAAGCTAATAATCCAAATAACTATCCATCATTCTTCTGCAATTCCAACCTTCACTTCTATTAGCTGCTAAAAATCAGCAGAGATGGACTAGCAGTGGAATGAAACATTTGAAGGTATTTTAACCCACAGCAGTGGAATGAAACATTTGAAGGTATTTTAACCCATAGCAGTGGAATGAAACATTTGAAGGTATTTTAACCCACAGCTGGTGACTTCCAGGACTTCACCAGGGCTATAAGAAACATACTTAACACAAGAAGGAAGTTGGAAATGTAGAGAAATTCAAAACAACAATATAAAATGAACATTAGACTGACAATAAGCCAGCTTGCCAATAAAAGCAGGCCCTTGGTTTGCCCTAAATGACAAATGCTCACTTACAACAGCAATGTATTCAATTAGAAGAGAATATTTTTATAATGCCTTAACACACACCTCTCCACTGCCTTTGCTATAAATACACAGAGGTCACACTTGGGGCTTCCTTCCACCCTGGAAGCAGCTCTAGTGTGGGAGAGGTTGCTGCAGGCAGACCACTGATGGCAAGTTCCCTGTTAGAAATGACAGGGAAATGATAGAAATCCCTTAAAAAAAATTATAGCCTTCTAGTTCTAAAGAAGGCATAAAACCCAAGGAATTATGGAAAATTATGCAGTATCATTTTGACATAGTTTCCATCCCCTGCTTCTCTCCATTTTCAGAGGAGCAAGAAAGGCCACTGCTGATAATGTTTCAAATATGAAATTGATGTCCAAATTTTAAAGACTGAGCTGGCATGAAAATAAGATGGTGCTAATCTGTGGTGATCTAGTGATCTGAACCAGCATAACTCCAACACTTTTATGTTACTAAAACCCCCCAGCTCTGCACACTCTCTCTACTGTCTTAAATTTGCATGCTCTCTACAATAGCTCCAAAATCATGATCTCAGTGCAAAGTTTACTTTGATTTAATCTTTAAGGTCCAAAATGAATTGTGTGGCTTACAACTCTTGGACTATTTATCACTTTAGACCTCGAGCCACAGTGTTTTTCCAACAGAGCTGTACAGTATCTGCCCAATGTGTGCATGAGGGCAGCACTACAGCCCCTGGCCATGAAGCCAACCAAACCCACCACGTGGGGACAGCTCTGCCAACAGCAGCTTTGCCCAGCCTCTATCACTCAGGGACTCAGTGGAATTACATTGTCAGAAAAACTTGAGAGAGATTATTCAGAGGAGATAAGACAACTGAGATGGCCAATCTCAACACTGGTAACCTTTAAAAGAAATAACTATTTCAACACTCAGAATGCTTAAGAAATTACAGAGGAAAACACATCCTGGAGTTTTTCCAGAGCACTTTTTTTGCCAAGAAGAGTGAGCTACCCATCCTCCCAGTACAAGCCAAGGACCTCAAACATCCAGTTCCAGAAGCCAGCTTAGACAAGAGGGACTCCCAAAGGTGTACCCAAACAAAGAGACCACTAAAAGACTCCTCTCCTCTCCTCTTTTCTTTTTCCTCTTCTCTTTTCTCTTTTCTCTTCTGTTTTCCCTTTTCTCTTCTCTTTTCCCTTCTCTTTTCTCTTTTTTCTCTTTTCTTTTTTCTTTTCTCTTTTCTCTTTTCTCTTCTCTTTTCTCGTTTCTCTTTTTTCTCTCTTCTCTTTTCTCTTTTCTCTCTTCTCTTTTCTCTTTTCTTTTCTCTTCTCTTCTCCTCTCTTTTCTCTTCTCTTTTCTCTTTTTTCTCTTTTCTTTTTTCTTTTCTCTTTTCTCTTGTCTTTTCTCTTTTCTCTTTTTTCCCTCTTCTCTTTTCTCTTCTCTTTTCTCTCTTTTCTCTTTTCTTTTCTCTTCTCTTCTCTTTTCTCTTTTCTTTTCTCTTCTCTTCTCTTTTCTCTTTTCTTTTCTCTTCTCTTCTCTTTTCTCTTTTCTTTTCTCTTCTCTTCTCTTTTCTCTTTTCTTTTCTCTTCTCTTCTCTTTTCTCTTTTCTTTTCTCTTCTCTTCTCTTTTCTCTTTTCTTTTCTCTTCTCTTCTCTTTTCTCTTTTCTTTTCTCTTCTCTTCTCTTTTCTCTTTTCTTTTCTCTTCTCTTCTCTTTTCTCTTTTCTTTTCTCTTCTCTTCTCTTTTCTCTTTTCTTTTCTCTTCTCTTCTCTTTTCTCTTTTCTTTTCTCTTCTCTTCTCTTTTCTCTTTTCTTTTCTCTTCTCTTCTCTTTTCTCTTTTCTTTTCTCTTCTCTTCTCTTTTCTCTTTTCTTTTCTCTTCTCTTCTCTTTTCTCTTTTCTTTTCTCTTCTCTTCTCTTTTCTCTTTTCTTTTCTCTTCTCTTCTCTTTTCTCTTTTCTTTTCTCTTCTCTTCTCTTTTCTCTTTTCTTTTCTCTTCTCTTCTCTTTTCTCTTTTCTTTTCTCTTCTCTTCTCTTTTCTCTTTTCTTTTCTCTTCTCTTCTCTTTTCTCTTTTCTTTTCTCTTCTCTTCTCTTTTCTCTTTTCTTTTCTCTTCTCTTCTCTTTTCTCTTTTCTTTTCTCTTCTCTTCTCTTTTCTCTTTTCTTTTCTCTTCTCTTCTCTTTTCTCTTTTCTTTTCTCTTCTCTTCTCTTTTCTCTTTTCTTTTCTCTTCTCTTCTCTTTTCTCTTTTCTTTTCTCTTCTCTTCTCTTTTCTCTTTTCTTTTCTCTTCTCTTCTCTTTTCTCCTCTCTTTTCTCTTCTCTTTTCTCTTTTTTCTCTTTTCTTTTTTCTTTTCTCTTTTCTCTTTTCTCTTCTCTTCTCTTTTCTCTTCTCTTCTCTTTTCTCTTCTCTCTTTTCCTTTCCTTTCCTTTCCTCCTTTTTAATTTGTTTCTTTACATTTCAGATGCAGTGATATTCTGGACAGTATCTGCTTCATGTAAGGTACCTTAGGAACTGCCAGCTGCCACAGCAGCAGCAACAACTTCTATTTTCAGTATTACCTCATATGCAAAGGCTTAAAATAACACACATTCAGCTGAAAACAAAGGAAATGTTAATTCTTGGCCCTCTCATAATGCTTTTTACCTATAAAATTCACAGTATAGGAAAGTCTTCTTTTTACAGTGTAAACTTTGAGAAAAATGTAGACGTAGAACAATCAATTAAGACCCTGGTCAAAGTACTTAATGGAAGAGCTAAAAAATGAGCCCAGGCTTTCTCTTTTCCAGTGCTGTACCACTTTTGCTCAGAAAAATAAATATGCAGCTATCATCATGAGACTCTATTTGTGTATTATACACATGGAAGCGCTGCTGCTGCCAGGAAATGCACGCTCCCAAAGGTCAGTTTATCTCTGAACAGGGGTACTTACTGAGTATAAATAGCCAAAAGCATTCAGTGCACTGATGATCTTCTTCAGAATTAAGATTCCTCCACTCCACACGACTCCTTAAGCCCAGCAGATGGTTTCAGACAACGCTGAAGAACTCACCTTCTCATAATTTTCTATCAGGATTTCCACGACGATGTTCTGAAACTTCAGGTCCATGATGGCTGCTACAGTTTCTTCCTGTGGCCTCATTAAGGTGGGTCCAAACACCACCCCTAGATTGGCCACGGTCATCAGATTCCTCTTGGCGTGCTTCGAAACGCTTTTTGAAAAGAATTGAAGGAAAAAACAGGAAATAGGTTATGAAAAATTTCCATTACTGCTGGAAACTGCAGTCTACAAATGAAAACATCACATTTCCTTCATCTAGGTTTTAGAAGTTTGTTTGGTGCAAAGTTTCTTCAAATAAAGCCTTAGTGGATTCTGGAAAACAGAAAAGCTGTTCTTCCACTGGCAATTTGAAAACAAAAGGAGTCTCTTACTGAACTTAAATACATAAAAATGCACTTAGCCTTGGATCAGGGCAAGTGAGAAACCAGCTTAAATTTGCTAACAGATCTCCACTCTTCGCTTTGCCAGCATCTGCAGAAAGAAAGTCTAATGTTCCCTTTCTCACTTCAATCAAGCCCTCCACTGCTGGCAGGATGGCTAAAGTAAATACTTATGCAGCTTCATTAAGGGATTAGATTTCTGCCCTGCCCGCCAAAGCACACACAGCATGAGTCAAAATCTTGTCTGCTGCTGCACGTTTGGGTCTTGCCTTTGTGCATGACAGCACTGAGATGGGCTCCAGCTCCAGCCACGCTTTCACTAAGGCCCTTTGTAGTCACACGAAGGGCAGAGGCATGAGTTCTGACAAGGGAGGAAAACAGGTTGCAAGGCTTACTTTGCTAAATGCTTCACCAAAATTTCCAGCATCTCCTTGTTCTTTTCTGGGAGTTTATGGACCAAGAAGTGAACGGCGTGAACTCGAGATTCGGGACTCCCGCTTTCTAGGGGACAGAAATAACTCTCTCAAAAACAAAAAAAACCATATCAAACCAAAATAAAATACACAGAAACACAAAGCTTGTCCCACCCCTGCACGGAAACACGCTGCACAAGCTTTGCTTCACCACTTCCATAGGGCCAAACACAGCAATACTGAACATATGTGCTTTGTTTTCACAATCCTCTCCTAAAATCATCATCAACTTATTTGCTTAGTGTGTGAGCTCGCCCTTCAATCCACCTGCAAAAAGATCCCTCTGTTCATCTATCTTTAAAAACCAACAGTAGGGTTTTTTTGGTAGGGATGGGGCTCCTCTGCTTGTGACTATACTGCAAGGTGAGGAGCAATGTGACTGGCTGCCTGAGAGTGGAACTGCACTGCTTTACATTTCAGCATCGTTAACTGATTGGCCTCATCATTAGAATTCAGCTTTGTTGGTGCTGTGCAGCTAAGGACACTGCATGGGTGGTGCCCTGCATTGGAAACTATGCAAGACAACACGTGCAGAAGATTCATGAGCTCAGAAAACTTAACCACTTCTGAAGAAACAGAAGAATAATCAGGCAAAAAAAGCTCCACCAAGCAAAAAAAAGCTCCTCAGTGAGATTTCTACAACAATGGGCCCCGAATAACAACAGCATCCCTCTCTGCTATAGTAAAGAAATAAAGGAAAAATAACCATGGAGCTTTAAATTTTTGTATGGTGCATGTTAAATGGAATAATTTTGGCCCCTACAGCTTCCCAGTACCCCTACATGTACACAGATGAAAAGAAGAGCCTGTAAAAGTTTAAAATAATGCCTCTTCCTATTTCTCAGAGATGTATTCAATCACAAAATTCCATCTCAGGAGTTACAACGAGAGGAGTGGAAGTATTTCTCTTGTACATAATAATACTTAGTATGAAGTACAAAAAGAGAAAAATTAAGAGCTTCCTCTGAATGCCAGAAGTTTGGACTCCAGGACCACTCATCAGGTCCCATTTTACTCTAAGGCAGCTTTGATTGCTAAGTTGATTTCATACAAAATACCACCACATTTCTTCAGTGCATAATATTGCTACAGATTTTTCTTTTCTTTGAGTATTGCTACAGATTTTAGGGGTTTTTTTTTATTCTCTTGCAGTGAACACCCCTGCACAGATTGCAAGAAAAAAGGCTACCAAAATGCAAAACATTTAGCTTCCAGTCAGCTAATTAAAATTCAGACAGCCAGAAAAACAGAAGCCTTGTTTGAAGCAGGACTATTTTACATACATGTGAAATCACAAACTCTAATTAAAGAATAGCTAAGCAACTTAATCACAAGACAGAACCAAGGCTTATATAGTTTCAATCTAAAATGGTATGTATAAAGAAAAATTGAAAGGAGAATCTTTTAATTTTATCTTTCCTCCCCTAATATTTCAGAAAAAAGGATATTCCTTACTATTTTCAGTGTTGTTTTTTTTATAACCAACACAGGAAGCAACAATATCCACTTATTTTTAAGTATATCCTAACATAGCTCTGCATTGTTGATTAAATTTCCCTCCCTACTAAATAGAATCATCTCTAAAAATTTGTTTAGTACTTATGAACACTGTTCTCTTTAAAAGATGTAACTTCAGCTGAATGCCATTATTGAAAGAGATAATAAAATAGCAAGGAACTATAAAGTATAAAAGAGAGAAACTGTTGGTTAAATTTTACAGGTCAAAAAATTACTTCAACACTTTCCCATACCAAAGGGTAGATGCACCATCTAAGGTAAGTACATTGAATTTTGTTGAAGCACTTGGCCTCTCAGAGGTGCTTTGGCAATGAATTTCATGGGCTAATTCTCATTTTGAATTCTGCAGTTCTGGAAAGTCATTACAGCAATCCAAAGGAGATAAAGCAATTGTCTCAAAGTTTATTTTAATTTTGCTTTCCCCAGTTTGCCAGAAGTGCTACAGGCTGGAAAGAAAATCAGCTAAATATCTGTTTGATACTTTGCCAAAAATTTTCTTGCACAGTTTCCCTCCATCCCCTTCCAAAAAAAATTCCATGTACATTAGATACCATACAGCTGAAGTACAAATGCTGTTGTGTCTTCTCCAAGTCTGTATTTGAACTGCCACAGTGTAATCTGGCCTGTTCTTTCATTTCTTCTGCTAATATAGGAGGAATTTTCAAGCCAGGCTGGATACAGAGCTAACAAGGCACTGAAAACAAGGGTCAGGCAGCTGTGCTTTAAAGATTCAAATGAGACCAAATTAGTGTATTTGCTTTTACTAAGCTTCATACTCTTTATAAATGGAAGGAAAAAAACAACCCAAATCACAATCTAAGGAGATGTTTATTGTTCTAGAATTAAAATAATAAGAATGAATGTTTACAATGTCTCTCTAAAAGTTTCTCCATGGAAGTAAAAATTGTGCTGTGCTAAGTCTGCCACAGGCTTGCCTGTCAAGAGAGAGGTCATATGGGACACAGACTAGAACTGCTTAAAACCTACATATTTAAAAAACATTCATTTCTTACTCATATAGTTTTACTGGCTGGAAGAATTTCTCTGAAACTGCCTTTGCAAGGCACTACTAAGGCCACAGCAGAACTGTAAGAAAAGATTTCTATTTGAACTACAGTCATATATTTACTGGCAGGAATGATGAATTCTCCATGCAACTCGTATGTCATCAGTGGCTCTGGAAGGCTTCTGGAAAACAAAGGTGACATCATAAATTTAGCTATATGCTTTTCTACCTCTGTTTACTCTAAGCAGGAAACCTTTTTAACATTCAGCAGTATAATCCTTGCACTGGAGGCCACCATTGTTAGGGTGGCCCTTGAATTCAGTGTTTTCCAGCATGAAGGGAAAAATAGGTATTATTTGGGAGGGAATCCATTCACCTTCTGTGAGCTGAAGTGATGCCTCCAGTCCATCACAAAATCAATATTTTCTCAGATGAAGATCATACACATATACCGTGTAATTAATTCTTCATTAGTGTTTTTAAAATACAAACAATCACAATAAATGCCTTAGTGGAAAGAAATAAAGGTCCTAAAACAGTTAAGATTGCTGAACAGTACCCATCCACAAATAAAAATTCTAAAGCATTTCAAACAGAAACATTAACATTGAAAACCTTAGTCATCAATAAAAAATATACTGAATAATGGAGATCAGAGTCCAAACACCAGAGTAAAAACCTTCATTTATTAAGTTGACTTTACTGATGCTTATGAAATATTGGAGTAAACACTCAGACAGGAAATACTGTAGGCAGGAAATACTTCACTGTGGGCACTTTTTTCCCCTACTTATTTTTTTAAGTTATTCTTTCCAACACTTTGGAAGAGACACTTTTATTTTGGTAATGGTTCTCCAGCATTCTTTGATAGTCGTTGCACTAATACTTAATTTAACAAAACCAGCAGCTTAAAAATACTGAATTTGTGTTATACACAGAAGTTCTATGTTCTCAATTTAGTAAAATATCTTGATCAAGCATTGGCCAAGAAATTTGAGCAGAGAACACACCTAAAACTCTTACCTTTAACACTGAAAATATTATTACTATTGCACCTAGAACATCAGAACAAGGGCCAGAAGGGGAAAATATTTTAAATTTCATTTTACCACATTAAACCACAAAAAGGCAAAAAACTCTTCCTTTCACTACCAACTCTTAGCAAGTTTACCAACAACTCAGGTTTCTGAACCATCACTGAAATGTCTCTGATACAAAAACATTTGGGGGCTTCGGTCTCACGAACGTGAGTATTGGTGTTGCTAAATTGTTTTGTTTCACTCCAGACAAATAACAAACATATTTGCACAGAATGAAGCTCTGTTCCAAAATACAGGGAAAATGAGCAAAGCAGATTAACACAGTGTAGAGGAGGATTAGGATACAGAAGTCATAGTCCAACACATCAATAAATGGGAGGCAGGCTTACCGCAGATACTGCTTCATAGCACTGGTAATTGTCTTCACCTCCCACTCCAGAGAGTTTTCCAGGTCAACTTCATTGCAGGTTTTTGCATCTAGAAAATAATCAGAAAGAGAAGAGGGACATGGAACATGGAATTCTGAATCAGTATGCCCTACCTGAGCTGCAAACGTTGAATTTGGTCATGATGTATTTGCTCACATGAAGACAGAAGTAATGCAGCCTTGCTACTAGTTAATAGTAAGAAGATTTAACATCCAAACCTCTTTAGAGATTCTGTATTCTGTTTCAAAAAGTATTTACTGATTTTTTCCTTAATGAAGGATTAAAAAAAAAAATCACTTTCATGTAAAAAAATCTCTACAACAATTGATATTTTCATCACTTGAATTAAGCAGAAAAATGCACATAAACACAGAAAGATGTGCAAAAACAGGTTAGCAAAAAGAGCCACTAAGCCTAACAGCTTTTCCTCTTTTCTTTCATTATTTAAAATGCAAGTACAGTCAGAAATCTTTTTGAATTCTTTCCATAGTTTTGCTTGTAAACTATTATTTTGGAGTGAAAACAGCCAAAGTGCAATATGACCCTCCTTACTCTGGGAAAACATTGAAGAGGTACTTCAAGAGTGGGAGGACTCTTCTCTATCAGTGTTTCCTCTACCAGATGGACTGATTGTTGCCTTTTCTTGGTCAGTTTTAACTGATGAAGGGATGAAAAAAAGCTTCCTTGACCATTTGTCAGGTCTGTGGAACTCCTCCCACCTTTTAGTTGACAGAGTCTTAAGACAGATGGACTTGAATCATCCACCAGGTAACAGCTCACACCACAGTGGAATATTTTGCAGTTAGAAAAAAAACCTTTTTGGCCTAAAACCAGGAAGCAACAGCCAGTTGACACAAGCTGATCACATGTATATGGCCAAACTAGCCCAGAGTATTTGGTAATTTTGATTGCTTCAAGAGTTTCTGTGATTATTGCTGTTACATGTTTCCCTCAGTCACTACAGCAGGAGCTGACACAGATTACGTGTTGACCAGTTCATACAATTCAGAACTCATTTGTTACTCTGCTTGTCAGACAAATGACAGACACGTTCAAAAAATCAAATTAGGATCCCTGATTAAAGGTGCAGTCCTTTTACTGGGACTAAATAATTCTGTTCTAAAGGCTGTGCCAAGCAATTATTTCTCTAACTGAATATTCTCCCTCATTATATCAATTATTTAAATCTCATTTTAAAATACAAGTCAGATAACATTTTCTACCAAATTGTAACTAGGCAGCCATCACCCAAAATACTCAAGATTGTCTGAGGAAAAAGTTTCTTTTTTTCTGCTTTCTCATCCTGCTGTTTGTGTTCAAAGTCTCTTCTTTGAGAAGAAAACCTTCCTACTCAAGTAATCAAATAAAAACTGCCATCTTATCAGAAACTATTGAAACCTATGCAGGTTTTCTTGCTCAACCACTATCCACTTTCTAAATAACTGCTTCATAATCATCAATCTCCTTTATAGGCAAAGGATGCACTAAGTTAGGTGAAATTTGAAGAGGAAAATAACAAGTGTCCAAATTCCAAAGCTAGCCCCTTAAAATTAAAACCAGAAGGTATTGCTGAAGTATTTCATTATCTCTTGTGGAAAAACAAAAACCCAAAACCAAAAAGCCCAAACTGACTCTCCTAGTTTTCACTCTCCTTGTTCACATAGCAGCCACTGTGCACTGAATGGCAACTTTGCACTGATAAAAATAACTGTGCACATTTATGGAACAGCTTTTGACAGAGCAGCTCTAAAATTTATGCAAATCTTTCTGACAATAAGGGAGCATGAGAGTTTATAAAAACAGTCCAGATCACTAAAGTAGGTTAGGAGGAGACTCTCTCTGCTTTCATAGGCAATATGCCCACTGGAGGAATGGAGGCATACTGCCATTTATTTATAGAAAATAATAAATAAATCAATGCCATTGTTCTGAAAGCTGCTGAGTTTGAAAAGGCACCTGAAAGTCATCTTCTACAACCAGGAGCAAGGGTCTGTCTGCAAGCTGACCTGTGCAGTGGTTTGCATGGACTCTGTTGCATGGAATGAGCCACATCAAATCTATAATGTAGATCCTTGATGAAATGGGAATTGGTCCCTGATGCACTCCAAGAACTGAGCCTCCAATTGCTTATACCACATTCCCATAACACTGGAACCCTAACTCAGTATCCCTCTTTACAATGAGATATTGGATTCATTTAACATTTTCCCTTGAAATGTAGTGAGTGTTTTCCTTACCAAATGCCTCACTTAAATTGAGAGGAGATTATTGCTGCAAACAGCACACCATAGGTACAATGCTTGTTACAAGCAACTTCAAGGTCTCAGTTAATTGCAAAATCAATTTGTTTATTTTCTGAAAGCAGAATTGTGTATTTATTTGCTGGGCCTCTTTTTACAGAAGACTTAATTCATTAAATTTTTACATTAAAGGTGAAAATCTGTGCATTCCTTGTGTCAGAAAAGCCTACTTGGGTCTTCTCATCCTCTCTTGGCTTTCAATGTCCTTTCCAAAATTTTATAGAAAATTATTCTGAAAGGGAGACAAAACTATGTGCTGTTATGTCCTTGGTTACCATTTGGAAGACTTTTTATGCACTTTGGGCCTTTCAGACTGTGAACCTCACAGTCAATGAGAGGTAACTTAAAAGCCTTTGAAACCTTATCAAACATTTTAAAATACAGAAAGTTAATATGAGGTTTTTATGATTCTGAAAAGATCTTTCATATAAAAGGGTATCTAAGAGTATAGCCAGAGACAAAGGATTAAAGATTAATCAGTCATTTTAAATTCTCTGTACTGCTGTATATCAAAAAGAAACCTTCTTTATTCTCCTCTGAGGACAGACAGATAAAGAGCACAGATAGGATCACTTTCAACAAATCCTCAGAAAAAAAAGTACCTGCACGCACCCAAACTTTCTCCTGTTTGGTATTTTGCCTCATTTTGATACCATTGTACTCTTCCTACTTCGAATAAATACATGAATCTTGGGAAGGACAAAAAATGTTTCTAATTTTAAAAAAATAACTGAAAACAGATGCTGGAATCCCCAGTAAACTCTTCCAGCTGCTACTGCACCACTGGCAACCTGAGCCTATTTAATTTGGATACCACTAATGGCAAAGAGGAAAATTTGCCTGCCAGACCTGCACACCCAAGCTAAGGCAGTAAGTATAAAACTTCAAAACATCTTATGGCACCAAATGTATTTCATTAAGACTCTCTGAGTGATAACATGTCATTCTTCCTATGGTCAAGGGCTAAAGATAGTCATTGTTTACTGAAGCTAACTCCAGCAGAGATAAACAGCCATAAGATTCTGTCACAGATCAGTCATTTTTATTAATCCCACTTCCTATTTCCAAAAAGAGAGTTTTTCTACAGTGCTTCAAAGACACAGGCAGGTTTATGTGCACTAATGGAGAACTTCAGGGTGCCGTTAATATTGATTAAAGTAAGATGCCATAAATTAATATTTAGCAAGGTCATCATGACAGATTGATATGACATGCAGGTCCTCGAGCCTGATGTCTTATCATTTCTGAAGAGACAGCCTGTTTGAAAAGAAAAAAAAATAAGGAAAGGAAAAGAAAAAGTCTTACAGGTGGCACTGAACTGACAGCAGCATGTAATATAAAAGCGCTTTGTCATTCACATAATGTCTGGGGTAATGAAATGAATTCACTTTCTGGCTTCCTCCAGTTTGCAGTGCCAAGGAACACTGTGTTATCAGCACAGATGGAGCATGCATGGTTCTGGAGAAGAGCCTGGTGCAAACTGCAAACAAGCTTCTTTGCATACCAATGAATCCCTGAGAATCAGACCTTTGCTGTCAAGCGACAGGTTTGGAAGCTCTGTAAAAAAATGAACTAATCCCCATGGTCTTGTCTGACTGCATGTACTGTCAGTGCTCAGGACAAGAGGCTGGGAAACACAGCACATCTTGCAGTCATGGCTACTGCTTTGGTGAGAGGGATCAGCCAGATGAGGGATTTCATCCAGGTGCCAAGACTACTATTTTTTTTGGGCCTTCCTCTAGGGACAGCAGAGCTGCAAGAGAACTACAGTCACCAGGATTAAACAGGCATCAAAATTTCCAGAAAGAAAAAAGAAGGGAGAAAAGTTTCTGAAAATAATTTTATGAATAAAAAAAAAAAAAAGAAATCAATTAAAAGCTCTGCATGGCTAACTAGGTATAAAAGAATCTCAGATGTTACCCACACGTAAGAGCTATACTACTAAGTTTATCAAAACAAACCCTTTCTCCATCTGTCTCCTGCCTTGGCACAGAGTTATTATTAATACATACATCATATTCCTCCTCTTCTATCAAAGAGCTCCCTGCCAGTGGGCTTAACTAAAGACACACATGGGTGTCTACACCTCTGTGTCTCAGACAAGGGAGAAGAAAGGTGGAAACTTCAAATAATGAAGCGATAAGCTTCAAACTTTCTTAAATTTGAATTTTCTGATCAGACTCTTCAACTCAGGCTGCTTTAATCCCACCAACATCAGCGTTGCATCAAGTCCATGATTTGCTCTCACACGTCCCATAGGAGTTCTCCTAGTTTATTCCTTCCAGTTAATCTTGGTCATGCTAAACCAGGGGAATTTACATTCATACAGATGCCTTTCAAACTCAATCTTGACAGTAAAACAACACGAAATAAAATACTGAAAAATGATTGTAAAATAGAGGCATACCCATCAACAAACTGAGAAGTCTCTGGACCTTTGAACTCACCCCCACAACTCTGTACAATCCTTGGTCATTTATACCTATTATGCAAAAGGAGAAAAGAAAAAAAGGTAGAAAATGAAACACAGTCAAATTTAGCATTAAAACTTTTACCTGAGCAACAAATTCTCCTCAAAGACAAAGAGACTACACAGTATTAACACAGTCAGGAGAACAACATTATAAATAAAACATGGCAAGAATCCTTTTGTTCTTCTGTGGTTATAAGGTAAGTTCATATTGTTTTGATAAAGATTTCATGCACCTCAGTTCCACTTCAGAAAGGGGGAGGAGGAGCAAACAGGAATAAATCTTTACTTGGAAAAAAAGAAATGTAAATCACTGGCTGTTTTCACATTTTTTAAATGACATTTTGGATACATCAGCATCCACATTCTAATAATGCAAGAACTGAACCAACAAATGCTAAATTAAGATTTCTTCAACAAACATAATTTTCCTCTTTTCCAAATATGTGGCTGACAAAAAGAGTTTGGAGAAAATAAAGAAAAACTTGAGTCTCTTCCCAGCTTTTCCAAGTTTGTAGATGTTTTTCATTGAAGATATTCCAACCCACCCTGGTCCACGTACCAGTTATGTCCAGGGGCACCACTACAAGTCATAGTGAAATAGATAATTCTGGTTTTGCTTGGGATGCACAGAGTAGCCACAACCAGTATGGTATTTTCAGTCCCCTGCTCTCATTTCATGTCACTCTTTCTGTGCCCTCCTCTCTTACACGTTCACTTCTCTTCCCCCTTCTCATCCTCTGCTTTTCCCTTCCTTCACCACGCTCGGTTTTAACCCTAAGGAAGTAAAACTAGGAGTATAAATTGAAGGAAAATGGGAGGGAGAGAAAGGGCAGGGAAGGAGAAGTGCAAATTATGCCTTTGCTTGCTGCATTGTTTTGGAGCCCGTGTAGTGGGAGGTAAAATATTAGAGTCCAGAAGTTGACACAGATGTTTGAGAGGCCACAGAATGAGCAGTCATCCAGAAACATCATCACACTCTACCTCTACATGCACATTGGCCTGGAAGAGTAGAAATGCCACAAAATACCTGTGTTTCTACTCCAAGGAAATCTTTTCAGCTAACAGATTATGTGGTATTCTTATTCAAAACATCCTCCAACAAAGGAAGACTTGTGGAGAATTCCCAGTTTCAATACCAAACTGTTCCAACAGAGAAAGAAAATTAAAACCAGTCATATGAGAAAAAGTTTCTGCCCAAATAAATATTAGATGAAGGATGTAAAAATCATTAGCCTTTTAATGAATTACTGTCAGACACAACCATAATACACAGCAATAATTCTCAATACAGTGGAGAGAACTTCACATTTTCTACCTCCTCCTCCTCCTGCCATGACTCTTCCTTCTTCTCTCACCCTCTCCTCTTCCTCACACAGTTTGCAGCCTCCTCAGTCACCTGAGACCTTTGAGAAGCTGCTGATCTCCTCCTCCTCCTCCTCCTCCTCCCTGTCATCACTGCCCCATCCTCTGTCCCATGGGGAGCTGACAGGCTGCAGCAGCAGCTGCCCCTTCTTGGTTGCTCCACCTGGGCAAAACTGCCCCTTTTCCCTCCCTGCCATGATGCTGAGTCTTAAGCTAGATGTCATCTTCAGAGCTGGCTCAAATGAACAGAATAAGCTACATCTCCAGGATTTCATCTGTGGTCATCAAGAACCACAGCTCTAGAGAATGCTCACAGTTCAGCTGGGTGCAAAACACCAAGAACCACAAAGCCCAGTTATGTGGCCACGACACTGTTCTTCTCAAAAGATGAGGTTATCAACCCAAGCAAGGAAGTCTTCCAGTGATCCCCAGAACAACAGTGTGACAGCATGCTGTGCACCACTTCAAGACTGTCAACACTACCAAAAAATATAAACATAATCCTTGATTCACTCCAAACAAGGATGTACCAGGAGTCTGTCCTGAGAGCCACGATTATTTTTTACTTAAATTTCTCTGAGGTGTCCAGGAAAATTCTGCTACCAAAGTAACACCATGCTTTTTAATGCTCTGCCAAAAGGCATCACATGTTTTTTTTATACAATGTCCTCCACTACTTTTAGTACCAGGGAACAAGCCTTCTGCATCACATGCAAGAAGCCAAAAAAGCTGAAGAAGTTCTGTCACAGTCTTGCTTATTTGCTCAGCTCTTGCTTATCTCAGAAGTTGCTTCGTGACTTCCTGTGCTTCTCACATGAAAACCAGGGGGAACCAAACTGTGCTGTCCCCAAACATACATTTATAGTCTTAAAAATAATTAAGGTCAAGCCACAGAACCTACTGCTCAATATTAAAATGGGCGTGATGTGGAAAAGCCTCTGAAATTATGGCAGTATTGAAAGTAAGACAATCCTCCAGCAGTAATGGTGAATCTGTGATGGTAATTATCAGATAATTGATCAGTTTCAAATTCATCAACCTGATAAAAGCACAGCCACTTGCCAGCAGGCATCAAGAACCACAAAGAGGACTTAATAGTTCAACACCACTTTAAAATTATACCTTCAGACCTACTTCTAAATGATGTTGTCTTGAAAATACACAAACCCAGATTTGAAAGCGTTTTAATAGTAATTAAAAAAAAAATAGTAAATAAAAATAGTCATTTATAGTATTGTAAGCAAGGGATGGAGGCAAGTTTTCTGTGTGGATGGTGTTGTACATGGGCCAGTAATAGAGCTGCAGATACAACTTTTTATATTGCACTGCATAGCACAGACACAGACCTACAAGGGACACTGAATTCAGTGTAACGCCAGAATTAGAAAATCAAGATTTTTCTACTTCCTTATCATCATCTTCCTTTCCAGACAGACTGGACAGACAGCTCGATGCTGCCATCTCTCTCTGCAGCTCAGATTAGCAGCTCCAGGAGTTCTGAATCAAGAGGAAGATTGCTCTGGCTAACACCTACCTCATCCTCCCAGGAGTAACAACCCGCTGCCCGCACACAAACACGTGCACAGAGACTTCACCACCAGAGCAAACAGCTCTTTGATGTGTCTCTAAACTTTTTACCCCTTTGTATTCTTCTCAGCAGAGAATTAGAAATAAAATACTCCAAGCAGCATCCCAAACTGTTCTCTCAGACAGACAGGATGGGTGCACAGCCCACCAGCAGCGTGCTCAGCAGGTGAGAGACAGGCTGTGCATCTCGATGTGGGTGCTGCCAGGTAAAGCACAGCCCATGTCTCACAAAGCAATGCTCAGTCAGAACCTTCCATCCAATTTAGCCAAGACACTGCCTCTGAGTCTTCTAGTCATTCAGAGCAAGTAATTTCCTTCCTGGCTTTATAAAAGGGAATGTAACTAAGAAAAAAAAAAACCATTCAGCCATTGACAAGTTTATGTTCAACATCTCTGCTATGCTCTTCTCTCTCTGAATACCAGACTTCTTCTGCTATGACATGACAAGACTATTCTCAGTTTCCACCCACACTAGACTGTCCTCTCCTTCCACCCACGCCAACCTCACACCCATTATGATTAAAAGAGATAAAAACATGGCACACAAGCACAGTCTCTGAAAAGGCATCTGTCCTGTCTTCTTCTCTCGAACATAATTTGCTTTTGATGTGTTATCATTAAAGTAAAATAATCAAGTAAAAGTTGTCTTAAGAACAAGTATAGATATAAAATCTGCAGCCTGAAAGATGGATTTTCTTCATCATGCAGCTATTTGGCCAGACCCTTCTGAGGTAAAACCTGGATGTTCTCCTGACCTTCTGTTAAGCTCGCCAGACACCACCAGAAGGTCCTGCAGGTTCTGCAGGAAATGGGAACTGATCCTTTAGGAATTCTTCAGTCAGTCTCATGGGTGAAGTCTGTCTGTGAAGTTTGGTTGGCTTTATTTGTTTTCTAAATCATTTTAAGTTCAGTATTGACAAACAGAAAACCATCAACAACTGCTTGAAAAGTGACAGATGAAGCAAGTTCATGGAAACAGAGCTAGGTGGATTGCTGAGTTCCTGGAAGGTAAGTATCTCACCCAAAACCATTCCTGAACCCCTGGGAAAATAAATATTTATTGAATTTTCTTTAAATTTTATATCTCCACAGACTGGAGATACTGTAACTAACTTTGCTCCCTAATTTTCCTGGAAGGTAAGTATCTCACCCAAAACCATTCCTGAACCCCTGGGAAAATAAATATTTATTGACTTTTCTTTAAATTTTATTTTCTTTTCATTCAATTTAATGCATTCTATTCTCAAAATTTTTTTTCTTTCATTACTCCACAAAAATAAATTAATATCTAAAAGTCACTTTCATTGGTTCCAATTCAAACAAAGCAGGTCTTAAAATGCTGCAAGTGATGGTGAAGCTGCAAAGTCTCCACAGACTGGAGACACTGTAACTAACTTTGGTCCCTAATTCTCTTCCAAGCATAGGTCAGGATGGATTCCACTATGGAGAGGCAGCCTCCTAACCTATGCAAGCTCATCATCTGTCTTGAACAAAACTATTAGTTCCCACAGCCCTGCCAAGAAAACCCACATCTAGCCCCTTTTTTTCCCCCAAAAAGCCACTTCATGAAGGAAGTCTTCACACTTTTTCCACTGCTGTGTTCTTGTTTCACTTCCCTTGCAAGGCATCACAGGAAATCTTTTAAAAAGATGACTACTTGAAGTTATTCAAATGCACCAAGAGATAATAAATCAAAATACAGTGCACTGAACACAGCCTACAGCAAGCATGGTTTATAAGGCACTGGAAGGTAAGTAGTTACTGTGCTGTAGACCAAATCAGGCCTTTCACTACATACCCACATGCTACCCTGGTCATAAAATCTGCCTCATCCAGCACAAAGAGAAGATCTTTCTATATGGAAGCAGAATTTTGCAGTGAAGACAACTTATCTGTAGGATGCCAGCTTTATCTGCAGTGTTTCCCACAATGTGAAATAATCAGAGTGTGAATGCCAGCAACTGAAATTTTTCAAGTGATGAGGCAGGCAACTCTTATTTGAAAAATATTCCAAAGAACAGAATGAATAAAAATAACCCCAAATAGAATATGCTCTACTCTGGAACACCACCTTTAATGCATCAAGACTAGACCAGGAGAAAAAAGCCTAAGAGAGAAAGGATTTCAGATCCTCCTTTTGTTGTTTAAATGCCAAATTCTCAATGTGACAAAGACTGATTGGTCTTCCTAACAATGTTGTACAGTAAGTGCATATAGGGAAGCCACTGCTCAATCAGCCTCTCCACAATCATCATCCTCTCTCCACAGATCTACAGGAGACTAGATCACACAGCCCTTCTTTGAAGAGCAGACCAGCTGCTCCATCCCCTCCACAAACAGGTAGGGTGGATCATTACCTCGTGTTTCAACAGCACTGATGCACTTTTTGATGATGGTGAACCCTATCTTATCCAGCTGGGCACCTACAAGGCAAAAAAAAAAAGGTTTGAAAAGTTTTAAGGCACCATTACCATCATGTCTCCCAAAAACAAGGCTGGACTTCATCACATAGGTAGCACTACTCAGGGAAAACTATATATATTTTGGAATGGAAATATTTCATCACTTTTTCTAGAGAAATTCTCCTTTTCTCCTTCACAGCCCTGCCTAGCCCAAGTAAAGGCTCATTTTGGTGGTAGTGGCTTCATTGAATCTGCTCACAGCAAGCAGCCTTTGAAGAATGGGATCTCTGAGGAGGTACATGTGTTGGAAGATGCAAACCAGAATTTAAGAGTACTTACTGCAACACTGACAGCCTCTGAGAGAGTTAACCCAATGGGACAGGGAAGTACTCCTGATGAAAAACCCATAACCATCAACAGCAGGGCTTTTACTGAGTCTACCCTGAGCCAAAGAAACTCCCACACTAAAGACAGGGGACACATGTATGTAATTTCTCAGCAGTTGATGAGCTGGCTACATAAAAGCAGATACATTAACAGGAGAGCAGCTGAGACCCAGCATTCCTTTGTTGTTCCTATCTTCCTCCTTTTTCTTCACATTTAAAAGCTTCTATTGCAAAACTGCCCTTCTCCCAAGCATCTGGCCTTCTTGCTCCTGGGGACCTGGGCTTGAACCACAAAAATAAAACTCTGTGGAAAAACTTCTATTTATAACACCAGGATCCAGGTTTAACCAACACTTTAATTAAATAAAAAAAGAATCAAGCATAAATTGCCTGATAATGCAAAGAGGATAAACTGCTTTCCTTCACAGAATCACAGAATAGTTTAGGTTGGAAAAGCACTTTGCTAACAGAAGAGAGAGAACATCATTTAAAGGAAGCTTTTTTTAACCAACACTTTAATTAAATAAAAAAAGAGTCAAGCATAAATTGCCTGATAATGCAAGGAGGATAAACTGCTTTCCTTCACAGAATAGTTTAGGTTGGAAAAGTACTTTGCTAACAGAAGAGAGAGAACATCATTTAAAGGAAGCTTTTTCTTCTATTTCCATGTTATGGTTTACATTTTAAATATATTATGGTTTACATTTTAAATAGGTGCCTTCAGTTTTTCTGCTGACCTTTGTGCTCAGCTGGGATTGCTTTTAAAACCATACTTATGTGTTACCAGATGTGTACACACAAGCTGGATGGAGAAATTGGGATGCATTTACATACAAATTAACCCTTTTCTGAGTGCATTGCAAGCATGAAGTAAACTGGGGAAAACAATCAGACTGTTTCTCTGGCTTATGTCCAGTTCTACAGTACTTACATGTGTATTAAACTGCATTACTAGGAAAAAAACATTAATTACAAAATTCACAAAGTATATTCAGAACTTGAGATTAAAAATAAAATACTTCATCACGTTGGCTTCACAGGAACAAAAATTACCTTTGCTTTTCTCAATTGTTAAAGGATAACAAGAATCAGCCTTTAATAGTAATTCAGATACTTACTTCCCTCTCGTTTGGCATTTGCTTTATTCAAATTGATGAACAGCTAACACAAAAAGAGTGAAAAGACAAATTATTTTAGAGAATTTTATGAAACTAGAAACAAGACACCCCCAATCTTAACACCCAGGAGGCCCAAATACAGCTGTTTATAGCTAGAACATACCACCTCTAAGTACAACAGGTCTAACAGTCGGACCAGAGGTCTCTGCCCCCTCAGAAAATAGATAATTGCACTTTTAAAGAGTGAAATTTTTAAAAAAATTTCAACAAACACAGTCCCTAGGGGAGGAGAACAATGCTACAGAGACTGAAATAACTTTGGAGTCCAGCTCAGACAACATGTGGTGGTAATAAACACTTCTGCAGATGAAACAAGATTTTTACAACAATGCTGTCACTAAAACTGACTGTCAAAATCCCCAGTAGCCAAAAACTGAGGACAGACACATGATTGTGTCATGGACTATAAAACCCCACTGTTTTTGCCCTGCAAGGCCAATATAATATTCAAGATTGCAAGAATAATCTGCAGCATGTTTCAATTCTGTAGTTCAGAACCATTTCCTGATGTGACCCAGGAATTAAGCAAATTCAAGTTCACCCTCATTCACATTGACCCTTTTAGCTAAGCTTTTTTTTAAAAAAAATTAAATATATACTAATAACATAGACCTAACTCATGCAAATCTTGCTGCTGGAGTGCAGTATGTCAGCACAAGGCTAAGTGGACACACAGTAGACATTCTAGAATCCCAATATCATCACTGTGGTGGGAAACCATTTATAAAAATCAATGCTGTCATTACAATGAAAAATATCTCACATCAGAAATAGCAGCTAGAGCTTTACTGAGTTACTCATCCTGAGCTTTATTTCACTTTAATTCTTTCTTCATTGAACCTAGCCTTTTGCAAACTATGGCATTCCAGTTTATTAAAGCACAGATGGAATCTGGGAGCAGAGGGTGAGAGAATTCCTTCTTTACACTACAAATAAATATATATATTTTTAAAGAATGACACTTACAGCTTCTTTTCCATCCAAGGCTTCCATCCACAGCTTCCTGTCTTCTTCAGAAAATGCCTGCATGGTCACAGGGACTCCAGGCCTGCAAACAGACCAACCACACAGAGTAACTATACACCAGCAACTAAAAAAGTCTCATCAAATTCCACTTCCAACTACAAGGAGTGCCCATTGTCCTAAAATTTGGGGGTTTTGCTTAATTACTGAACACTGTCCAGCTTTTAAAAGGTATAAAATTGATGCACAAAGTAGGAAAGAGGGAGGACAGGGAGGGGAAAGGAAAAAGTTAATATTATCTGGAAATTATTTGTTTGAAGTAGCTTTTTGATTCCAATTCTTGCTGAGAGTTACTGAGTTTTATGAATTCTACATAAACTTGCTCTTGCATGGCTGTGTTTTTGTGTAAGAAATGGTTTTTGTCAACTTCTTCAAGGTGGAAATCTTCAGCTTTACAGCAGGCAACAATTATTAGAGTTTTCCAGTAAATATCTTATAAAAAATAATCAATTCTCAATGCAGTATCTCACTGCAAAACTCCACTATTATAACCTTGTTAAAAAGCCAGGGTGGACAACTGTGAGACGTGGGGATTAGTGAAGGGAGATTAACACAAATCTATTTTTGTGTTTATATAATGGGAAACTAAAAAGTGTAATTGTGTGGTTCAGCACGGGGTGGAAAGCAAGGGGAGTTAAAAGCAGAACAGGTTATTTGGGTAATTATTTTTCTGCCAATTAAAAGAAATCACTACATGCAGCCTGCCAATACTCTTGACGAATTTGTAAATCTCATTATATAGAGATGGATAGAAAGAGAGAAGTAATTCCTAACATTCTCTCTCTCTCTTTTGTATTAAGTCTATCTGCAAGCACCAAAAGAGCTGCAAGGGAAAACGTTATCTAAACACAACAGCACAGAGAACACCAGCACAAATCCCACTTAAAACTGGAACAGTCTATGCACCTTGTTCAGATTTTTACCACTAGAGACATTCCTAGTTCATTTTCACCTGGCCATCAATGTTATCAAACCACACAAATGAATTGCAGCATAAAACTGTAGAGGTACAAATGCCTCCTGCTCAAAATCTCTTTTTGGATGCAGATGGCCTCCAACAAACCAACCCAAGCAGACCCAACTATAACCTTGGAAAATGGCAGTGATCAAACTCCTGATTAGAGCAAGGAGACTATTAAGCCCTAAAAATGGAATCTCTTGCCTTCATTTCTGCACTAATAACCTTTCTGACTAAAAGAAGCTAAGATGGGTATGAATAATAACAGTAAGCAAAACAGCTTCTCAAGCCATGCCAGTTTTTTTTGATGCAAACTGCTCTGCTAGGAGGACAGAGCTGCAAGCACTGTAAACATGTAAACTTTATCACTCAGTACAAAAAAATACCAGCTAAATTGATTAGCTTTTTAGTTAATTAGCTAAATTAACTAAAAAGATTTGAGGTTTTGCCTACTTTCTTTTACTAGTTGAAACTAAACCTAAATGAGTGACTTTTATGCAGGGCAAACTTTCCTTGTTTTCACTAAAATTTTAACTGTCAAAGTATCAAGAATGTCACCCAGATGCAATACTTCAAGCTCAGCATGTGTTGCATGAAACATTATTTATTTGTCTTCAAATTAAAGTCAAAAGAGACAAAGCCTTCCCTCCTCCTTGGCCTGTATTGGTAAAATTAAAATGTGAGTAGTATTGCAGGAGGATAATGCTCTTTATCAACAGAAAGTCTTTTTCCTACCCCAAAAGACCTCTGCTGTCTCCTTCAGATTTAAATTTCTCTCCATTTACCACAAAATCACCTCCAACTAAACATGATGGGGTGCTAGAAACAGAAAAAAACATCACTTTCCAAAGATTTAGCCAGGATCCTAGTACCCTCAGAGCTTATAATCACAACTATCAGAGTTCAGAGAAAAAATAATCACCTTGGATTTCTTTCTGAAATAAAAATTGATAAACATTCAGCTAGCTCCAACCTACACTCAAGTCATGCATGAGGATGAACATTAGCTACTGAAAAGTCCTTCCCAAAATTTTCCAGGCTTGCCTCCTTCCACAGCATGGGGAAAAAAAGAAAAGCCCATGGCCAGCTGTCAAGCCTGTCTCTTTTTTTGAACTTGGACAGGCTGAGGGATAAGCATGGCCTGAGCTGATACCAAGGAAACAAGCTAATGGCCTGCAGCACAGGACTGATCTCCATGGGAACATCTCAGGGCCACACACATATATTATTAAAAGAAAAACGTCTGATATCAAGGTCACAGTGGACCAGTTGTGTCTATTCTATCTGGACAGAAAGATGGATTAGATTTTTCCCACTTTGACCAGAGAAGAGAATGAAAGAATGTTTTGCAGGATCAAGGAAACACTGTTCTCCATCCATCTCTGTTCAAACCCCAGCTACCCCACTGAGCAGAGGTGACACACAGAGGGGGGACAGACTGACAGCTCTCACAGTACTTTTTTAGAAGCTTTATTAGACTCAGTTTGAAACCTATTACTCATACTGCCCAACACACTGACCCAAGAGGAGCTGATGCCAGGAGTTTAAAACTTTACTCCCTTTCCTACTGTTGGGACACAGAATAGCCCAGCCACATCCTCCTCAAACCAAAAATGCAAGTTCAAACCATGCTTTAAACTTGTCACAAATGCCCCCTGAGCTGTGCATGACTATCTTATCATCTGCCATGGGAGCTGGAGGTCTGCAGACCACTGGCAGTGTAGGACAGGACAGCTTGACAAAATTCTGGGTGATCCTTGTGGTCCCTTCCAACCCTGACAGATTCTGATCTGTTTTAGCAGAGGACTTTAGAGCCCTAATGGCTCAAGGGTTGGACTTGATGATCTTGGAGGTCCCTTCCAACCTAAAGGATTCTATGATTCTATGATTCTAATTGGCCACACAGCATTTAAACTGAAGGGCACTATGAATCTGATGAGAAAAGAACCCCAAAACCTCTAAAACTTGACCTACTACATGATAAATCAGAATGTCATTTATTGGTGTAAGTAAGGAGCAGATGTATTGGTTAAAAACAGCTCAGGAGGAGTAGATGCAAAAAGTCAGCAACAGTCCATTAATTTATATCCAGCATTTAATGCTGATATAAATTTAATGATCCTGTCCTGCACAGATACAATCTGCACCAAATGAATGTGGCATTGCCACAGGAATATTTATGTACAGTACCCTAATTAAGTTGGATTCTTATTTTCATAAAAGAAGGAAGACTACAGTGCTGACAAAAAGCAGTACTGATAGTATTTGAAGATCCTCTTCAGTGAGATAAATAAGCAATCCCCCTCTTTTGAAATAAAACAGAATGGTGGTGTTTCAAAAAGGCAGTGGCAACAACATTCAAGATGCACTGTGTGATTACACCAGCCACAAAAAGCCACAAAAATCCCAAGGGTCTTATTTTCAAACTGAGAATCCAGCATAAAACCTCAGCAACATGTCATTTTGGAAAGCAGGCTTGGGAGACAACGTGGGCAGGACTGTATGAATTATTACTGTGACCACAGTCATTCACTGTAGCTATATGTGCTGCAGTTTAAGCCATGATTCTTCACAAGGACAACAGCAATTCATGCTAGTTTCTCTAACTTTTCCTGTGTTTTTCTTTCATGTGAACTCAGACAATGTCCACATTGCAGTTTAGATCCTCCTTGCTTCTGCCACACACAACTGGGGTAAAATCCAGTGAGCCACGACAGTGTTTCCCTGCTCCTCCAGTGACTATTTCCCATCAGCAGTCTCAACAAGGATTGAAAAATTAAGGAAACACAGCAGTAATATTACAGTAATGTTGACTACTACTTAGAAAAAGTCTTTTCTAGCATGTTTCTTGAGCTTACCTGTCTGAAGCTTCCAAGTCAAAACAGAATCGCCTGTCTATAGTATCTGTATTCCTTTTGGTGCAGTATGTAAGGACAAAGAGCTCCTCATCACCCTGTGAAAAGAAAGATTTTATATGCTTCATCCAGTCATTGAAAGCTTCAGTAAGTCAGCTACTCAAAGCAAGGCAAATTTGCATTCAAATAATGGCAAAATCTACACTGAAAACTGACACTTGCAAAAGAATTCACTGATGATTGCTGGTCAGGTCTCTGCACAACAGCACAAGAACTCCAAGGTAATTCACAGGACATAAATGCAAAAACATTGAGTCTAAAGAGTTTAGCAGGTACTTTACAGCATGACACCACAGTAATTTAAACCAACATAAATATTTTGCTATAAAGATTTTGCACCTGTTACAACATAAGCACAGGAGGAGTGTAAAAGGCTTCTGCCACTTTGTGTCTTTTTTCCCCATAAATGTAACTAGAACAAAGTAAGTGGTCTTTATTATTTACATTTTAATTATTCCTTGTCTTACTCAGCATGGCCAGACACAGGAGGTTGTCACTGAAGGAGTAATTTGTTTCAAAATGGGAGATTTAATACAGCAGAAATGGCTTTGTAAGTGGTTTAGAATGCTGAATGCTTACACACATACTACATTAACTAAAGAGGCTTATTACAATTAGAGTAAATCAGGATAAAAAATTCACAGAAGTACTGCAACAATTAAGGAAGACAAATCCCACTAATTTTCAGTATGGGAAATTTCCAGTTTGGGGTATCCTTTTCCCCTGGAACAAAATTCATTTAACCCCTATTAATGCATTCCCAACTATTTCAGTAGGAATTAAAGTCATTTAAAGCCCAATAGAGTCTTGGGTCTTGAATATTTCAGATGCTATCAAAGAGATCTGAAATTACATTCAGTATAAATTATATTCCTATTAAAATCCTCTTTTCCAGTCCCTCTTTTAGTACTTATATCTCTGAAAGGAAAATCTGACTGGAGCATGTAAGAAGGAAAATCCTAAGTCTATTTTCCTGGCTTATACTTCAACTAAAGCTGGATGCCTCATGAATAAACCAGATTCTAAATGGTTAAACACTTCACATTATCTTTATCATGTCCTCTGGTCCTCTAAAAGGAAGTAACTGAGAAGTTTTCAGAAATTTTATGTTATTAATCTGTTGTTTTAGGTTCATGTCCTTAAATGGCAGAATGAATTGCAGGAAGAAAGAAGAAAAAAAGAAGCAAGGTGGTAGAGAGGGAAAGTACTTGACACATCTTATCTGACACATGCTCTGGTCTTGATACAGATTAAATATAAGAGTAAAATATAAAAAACTACTCACAACTTTCCCTCCTGATCTGTGCTCAAATGGGATCATGGTGAACTTCTTTGTCTCCTTCCTATAGGTGCAATAGTGCTTCACCCAGCTGGAACCAAAGGGAGCAGGCCCTACATAAATTATGACCAAGACCAGTGAATTGACCTCACAGAATGATGATTTTTCTTATCTTTTTACTGCTACCCCTCTTAAAACTTATTTCTGAACACAGTAAGACAAACGTGTCCACCAAGAAAGTTGTAGAGTCTTCCACTTGTGGAACATTTTACAGAAGTCTTTACTTAAACAATGATCAATTAAATATCATAAAAGTAAAATCTCTCATCAGATTAAGCAAACAAAATTTCTGTAACAGCACACATCTAATTACTATTGACTAGCAAAAAATTACTTATTACTATTGCTTTGTGGCCATTCCTTGAGCATTAAGAGCTCTGTATCTTACTTGGCTTTTTTACTAGAGTGAGAACAAGGACTAATTTTTCCAAGTATGGCCATGATATGATTTTTGCAACATGCACCTTCACAGCAAGATTTTCCACACTAGCTACTTAGCCTCCAAGGTAACACTACTGTTAGAGACTTTAAACATTTACCCAAATCACTCTTTTTAATAAAGTGGAAATTCTTTGCATCTTCATGCTACCTGTAGGGTTAAGATTTGCCTGTATGCACAACCTAGGCACTTTAGGAATACAAAATCAACCCTTTACTTTTTTCCTGTACATAGAGGTAGCCTTCCATGGTGAAGTGATTTGCTCTTTTATGTTCCTGAGGATTCCTTCTGATCTTGTTCATCAGTTCCTCTACCTCTGACCTTGTTCCTTGGAAACGATTTCGTGTCTGAAAGGAGATGGCAGAAAAACATGAGTAGAGAAGGGTGGGAGAAAGATTTCACTCTCCCCAGCAGATGAGAGTTACAACAGTGTGTTGAGTTTACAAGGAAAGGTTTTGGTAGCAGAGGGGCTGCAGGAGTGAAGGTGAAGAAGGAGGAGGTGCTCCAGATGCTGTGGCAGAGATTCCTTCCCCTGCAGCCCGTGATGAAGACCATGGTGAGGCAGCCCATGGAGGTCCACAGAGGAGCAGATCCACCTGCAGCCCGTGGAGAACCACACATCCCAGCAGATGGATGCCCCCAAAGGAGTCTGTGGCCTCTGGATGCAGGCAGCAGAACCTGTGGGCCTGAGGGAAAAGGAGCCCAGGCTGGAGCAGGGGAGGAGTGTGAGTCCTCCTCCCCTCAGGAGGAAGGAGCAGCAGAGATAATGTGTGAGGAACTGATCACAAGCCCCACCTCCCTGCTCCTTGTGCCCCTGGAAGGGAGAAGGCAGAGAATCTGGGAGTAAAGTCAAGCCTGTGAAGAAGTGAGGGATGGGGGAAAGGGAAGAAATAATTATTTGTAAAATGAGAAAACTCTTCAGGCCATTTTAGGACATCCAGTGCACCATTTCCATATATGTTTACTCTTTAAGTTTTCTGATATTCTTCAAAATTCAAGTGTTGTATTAGCTGTTGTAAGTGTGGAAAGCACACAAAGATTGCCAGAACAGATTTCTGAAACAATGAGGTGGCCTGTTCAGAAAGAAGTTGAAATACTGAGTGCAAAATTACTTTGCATCTCAATATTCAAGTTTCCTTAGAACAACAGTACTACAGATACTGGCTTAATTCAGGAGATTCTTACTAGTGGTCAGGAAGGAAAAGAATATTCTGTGGTTACTGAGAAAGAAGTATAGAGACAGACTACACTAAGCACTGCTCACCCTGAGCTTGGATGCTTTAAATGACCTTGCCAGGACCTGTGACTTTGCTGTTCAGTGATCACAAGCTGAGTGTGTGAAATGCACCCTAAGAATCATGGATGGAACTCTTGAAACCACAGGAACATTTCTTTCTGTACCACAGCCAAGCCCTGGTTCATTTCTCCTTTGGGAAGTTTCCTTCATCTTTGACAAAGTGGAGAATGTGTCCTGTCCTCTCATGATCTTTTCACATGCTTCCTTCTATTCTCCCCTCCCCTCAGGCAGCTGTGAAGCCTTGCCTCTCCACAGCTTTCCAAAATCCAGCTCATTCTTTCTATCCATTCATCAAATCTGAGCTGATCTCTTTTGGATCTCCTGGAGCACACTGTAAAACCATCCAGTCAACTGAGAATGCAGCTGTTGAGACTCCTTGCTTTCTTATTGCTCATCACTCCTTCAGACCACTTCACTGGCTCTTTTCCATCCCTGATCTGAAATCCAGCTCTTCAAAACCATATCACAGCTTCCTTCTCAGGTTTCATTTCTTCCTCATCCTGCATCATATCCACTGCAGCTCCATGCTGCTCCTCACTCTGTTGAGCTAAGCACACAGAAGAAATAAGTCTGCCCTGAACCTTCCTCCTACTCAGTTCACACTACTCAGTCCCTCTACCCAAACCAAACAACAGTTCAAGAGGAAACCTGAGACTTAAACATAGAGGAAGAAAATTCAAGGGATGGTATCAGGACACATGAATTGTGTCACCATGTATTACAGCAGCTGTAATCCTCTCCTGCCTTTCCACCTCCTTGATGCTCCCTGCTGGTTAAGCCACCTCTAAAAATAGGTTGCAACCTCTGAGAAGTAGTTTCTGTGTCTTAATTCCAGGTGCCCTCAGAGGTCAGCTGAAGAGATGCACTGTCACAAACTGCCTGTTCACAGTCAGGCACATCCTTTGCTCCCCACCAACAGGCCTCGGGCACCTCCAAGCTCCTCTGAGCAAGTTTTGATCTTCAGCAAATGACAAAGAAGCAGAGAGATTTGAGCAGGGGCTCTGCCAGCCCCATTGCTTCCTGCTCTCCCAGCCCTGGGCAGATCTGGGCCACTTGGTGTGAGGTTACACCAAGGTGGGGTGGATCCATTTATCCTGCCCTTGAAGGAACTCATCATTTTGTCACCAAGTCTCCTTGCACAGTTCTGCACCCCAAACCAAGAGGGATGTGCCTGCCCTCAAAACAAACAGAAACTTCAAGTCCCTCTGCTGTCAGAGATGCCAAAATAAACTCTGAGAACACCCAGCTCTTCTTTCCTGTTCTTAGCAATGACCCTCAGGCATCACCACCCCAGTCTTCATCTCAGACACACCTAGACCACTGAGGACCTTGTCATTGCCCAGGGAGGTGGTTGAGGCCCCACCCCTGGGAGTCTTTAAGGCCAGGCTGGAGGAGGCTCTGGGCAGCCTGATCTAGTGGGAGGTGTCCCTGCTCATGGCAGAGGGGTTGGAACTGGGGGATCCTTGTGGTCCCTTCCAACCCTGACAGATTCTGATCTGTTTTAGCAGAGGACTTCAGAGCCCTAATGGCTCAAGGGTTGGACTTGATGATCTTGGAGGTCCCTTCCAACCTAAAGGATTCTATGATTCTGTGATTTCATCACCCACCCTCTGAATTCTCCAGTGTTTTATGCACTTTAACAGACTTCTTTGGTTTTTAAACTCTTTCATGACAATCCTGGTGTTATGTCTTTAAGAAAAAAAAAGGAGTAGAGACCTTTTTCTTCGTGTTTGGTTTTCTTAGAGCACTAGGGAGGAGGAAGAACTCCCTGGAAGCTGCGATGGTTTGTTCAGTGATGTGGTTGGGTAGCCAGGAGATGGCACCACACCCCCAAATTTCACAGGCAATGCAGCTACTGTACAAACAGTAACTCCAGTGTGTGATTTTACCCCAAAAATCACAGGTACAGCTATCCATCTCCACTTACATTCTGTATGTTTATCTGCAGGGCCATTTTGTAGTGGTTGAAGTCTTTAGCAAGCTCATATCCCTGATGATAGAAAGTGAACAAACCCTGAAAAAACGACAGCACCTGAAAGACAAACAGAAGGCTTGTTAGGATGAAAAACTCCATTTAACAGGATATCCCTGTAGCCTTTTTTGGAAAGCTCAAGGATGACAAAATTAGTATTTTTTAAACCAATTTCCACTCATGTCCACAATTTCTTAATAACTGTTTAGATCCAAATGAGCAGCTCTGTGTGTAGGCATCTTTGGGTGGTCCTGTCTCTGGAATTTCATGACTGATCTCTGCTTTAAATCTGGCCACAGGCAATGTATGTTGCCTATCTCCCAAAATTTCCCAGGTAAATATTTTCCTACAGCTGCTCTGATACAAAGGATGTCTAGAATAAATATTTGTGCACGAGGAGGTAAAGCTCCTTCTGTCTTTTAGTCACCGTGCTCACTTCCAGAATCCAATCCAAAACTATGAATAAAAAAAAAAACATAGTTAAGAACTAGAAAATTAAGACAAACAAACAAACACCAACATGTAAAGCTCCTTCTGTCTTTTAGTCACCATGCTCATTTCAAGAGTCCAATCCAAAACTATGATTACAAAAAAAACATGGTTAAGAACTAGAATATTAAGACAAATAAACAAACACCAACACATCAACAACAAAAAATCCCACACAATCACTTTTCACAACCTTCTCCCATTCCTTCAGCAAGGCTAGTAGCCTATTTAAAGCAAAATTCCCACTTGAAGATTTGAACAATTTCTTCATACAGCAATAAACTATATTAAAATCTACATCTCTCTAACTCCATAGCAACCAATTACTTTGGTCAAGGTCATTTGGGATGTTTTTAAAATAGCTGCATTGAAATAAAAGGACAGATTTGGCCCAAAAACAGAGACTTCAGAGTGTGAATGAATGGCAGGGAAGTCCATTCTCTTTTTGTTTCATAAAGTTGCATTTATACCACGAAGCTAATAAATATTTCAGAAAATTTCAGAAGCTCTTCTCAGAGATTTAAGGAAGTCTGGTCAGCTCATGTATGATTTTCACTGAAATTCAGTGGAATCCTTGATTTCTGCACAGATTCAATGGAAATCAAACATAGCAGACTACCTGGTAATGAGCTTTTTAGCCAGCAGCACCTTCTTAATTAATTTTAAACTGCATTTCTTCACTAACAGGCCTGTAAGTGTAACCTGGTTGAGGGAGGTGATTCTCCTCCTCTACTCTGCTCTCATGAGACCCCTCCCTGGAGTCCCCCATCCAGCTCTGGAGCCCCAACAAAGAAAGACATGGACCTGCTGAAGAGCCACAAAGATGAATGAAGGGCTGGAACACCTCTCCTGTGAGGACAGGCTGAGAGTGCTGGGATTGTTCAGCCTGGAGAAGAGAAAGCTCTGGGGAGACCTTATGGCAGCCCTCCAGTATCTGAAGGGGGCCTAGAAGAAAGCTGGGGAGGGGCTTTTTACAAGGTCTTGTAGTGATAGGATGAGGGATAATGGCTTCAAACTGGAAGAGGGGAGATTTAGATCAGATGTAAGGAAAAAGCTCCCCACTAGAAGAGTGGTGAGACACTGGAACAGGTTTCCCAGGAAAGCTGTGGATGCTCCATCCCTTAAAGTGTTCCAGGCCAGGCTGGACAGGGCTTTGAGCAACCTGCTCTAGTGGGAGATGTCCTTGCCCACAGCAGGGGGGTTGCAATGAGATGATCTTCCAGGTCCCTTCCCATCCAAATGATTTTGTGATTCATCTTGAAAACTAAATTCCTTCACACACTTTCTGAAAACCAGCATCAATGGATCCAAACCAAATGTCATGACTGAGGTGAGTTTTGAGGTGCCCTGTTAACTGTATCTAGACTAGGAACTTGCTTTAAGTTCTGTAAGTCACACAATTTCATGCAGTTTCCTAGAAAACAAAGCCCCTTGGCTGCTCTCCAGCTGCCTCCCTTCCCCACCCCTTCTGAAGGACAGGGAAGGCTGAATTCACTGCTACTCACAGGTTCCACACACTCAAACTTCTTCCTCTCCTGTATCTCCTGCAGCTTGCACACATACTCCAGGGACAGCTCGTAGAAGTGTTTTCTGTTCTGCTCCACTTGGTTATCTGCCTGCACACACAAAACAGAGAATAAAGCCTCAAAGACATTGTGCAGGCAGCTTCAAAATGACACAACATGCCAGTGGCAAGAAACCAGGTCCTTCTCTCCAGGCTGGAGTTTGTTCCTTTACCACAGAGCTCATTCATCTCCTTTACATGGCAGCAGAAATTCCTTTTCACTAGATAATGTATGTTGTCTTGAATCAGAAGGCTAAATTTTCAGAAACATTCCAATAACACCTCTTCCAGCTTCTTTTCTATGGAATCTAAGACAAACACAGTTGCTGTATGTAAGCAGAATGCCACTGTACCCATCCCACCCTTCTGCTTCCTCTACCTGGCAAGAAAAAGCAGATTTGAAAAGTTCATTTATAAGACACTTGACAAGTTTTTACAGAGCAACAAGTATTTTCAAATGCAGCTTTATTAACCTTCTTTTTACCTCAACCTTGCTGAAATGCCAACACCATACTGATGGTGGACAGTTATAGTTCAGCTCTCATTCATCTGTATATAAATGTTGAACTTTCTTGCTATTATTTCATTAAATAATTAAGATACACGTGCCCTGATTAAACTATAAAACTTCAAGAACTGGGAAACAGAAACTTTTATTAAGATACATTAAAAGAATGGCTACAAAGGGACCCTGTAAGTGGGTAACAGTCTTTGCCCATGGGATAACACACACAAAAGGGGATGGAGAAAGGGTCAGGTGAAAGGACCAGATTTACTCTCACACACTCTCTCAAAGTCTAAGACTACATCCTTCAGGCAGAGGAGTGGCTGCTAAGCTTTAAGAGGATAAGTCAAATCAGCTTTAAGACAGTTTGGCTTTAGGATGTGCTTCTGCTTGGGGGCTCTGTGCTGGAAATCTGCCCATGGTTAAAGGGGAACAGCAACAAATGGCATTAAAAAAATACAGCATTTGGATGCACATGAGGAAGAAAACAAGTTTCCAAGAGCCAAGGTGCTTCAATGTCTCCTACAAACCATGAAACACAGGAATTGCTCGAGTTGTCAGCAGAGTTTCTAGTGATCTATACATCTATTTAGCACTGACAACATGCTGCAAGCCCTTTTTTGGTTTGTTTTTATGTTGCTGATACATTTATACTGCAGAATTCAATGTATAAATGAAAGAGCCTGACTGAAGAATTTGAGGATTTTTGTTCATGACATTTTGGAGGGCATTTAAAATGAATCTATTGGCTCATTCTAGTCTTCACATGTTCTTTAGCACTTCAGAATGTATTTGATACTGCTTTGAAATGCCTCTTGAAGGCATTTTGTATTTTTCCATTGAGGTTAGGTCTCATTTCAGACTTTGAAATATGGCTCTCAATATCATCAAGAGAACATAATTAATACTTTCTTCATTTCTTCTGCAGCAAGTTCATTAGCAGTTGATCAATTTGATAAAAGTACAGGTCCTGACACTTCAGCAGTGCCCATTAACTTCACTGAGACAACTCAGCTCCCCAAAAGACTCTTCTTCATGCACATGAGGGCCTGTATTGCAAATACAGTATGAAAAAGTAACATCCTAGTGAAACTCAAGAACAATGCCAGTTCTGAAGTTCCTACCTAACTTGTCAGTTACATTAACCATTTCCTATGAAAAATTGCATAGTTTATTTGTGGTGAGGTAGAGGGCAAGGAGAAGAGTTCTCTTTGAGGAAAGACTGTTTAAGGATACACAGTATTAATAGACTAAGCACTCATAATTCTGACATAATCACATTTCTCTGAAAAAAAATCAACCTTCTGTGCCTACAGCAAGTCCCTGCAAGATTTCTCTGGTGTTTTCTCATGCACTGCTTGGTGTTGCTCCAGAAACAAAAGCTATTACAAATAAGGATGATGATATCAAACCCACAGGAAGAGAAAGAACACCAGGCAAAAAGAGATCTTTAAGTTATCAATTGTCAACAAACATTTTTGTAGCATTACTTGAAATAAATGGATCTTCAAAACAGGAGAGAGAAAAATTTGAAGCAAAACAAAAGACAAAAGCACCTCCTTCAGGAATACAAGTCCTACACAGCCACCTTCAGCAAATACTGATTTTCTCACCAACATTTCCAGCTGACAGAGTTTTCTTTTGCCACTAAGAATGATTGGTTTGCCTAGCCAAAAGCCTTTAGCTTGCATAAAAAAAGGGAGGCAATAATACCTCTTGTAATTGTAGCTCTTTCTTCTTGGCTGATAAATTCAAGTGCTTTTCTAACAAACTGTAGTTCTTCTCTGTCTCTTTATCAAATTTCTTCTTTTCCTCCTAGACACAGAAACAAAGTAATATTCATTTATGTGTAAAAATGCAAGAAAAAGCCTCTTTTGTTCTGCTTTTAAAATTATACTTGATCAGAAACAAAGAAAAACAAATTATAGCTAAAACAACTATAGAAAAGTATGTTTCCAATTCATTTCTTGAATTCATTTAAAGGCTAACTTGAAATGAAATCCCACAGCTTCATTAGGGTGAAGCTTATCACATGAATGCTCACTTCTGAGTTAAAATAGGGGGAAAAAACCAAAACCAAACACACACCTCTTCTTGATTTATTACATTTTTCATTATTTTCAGGGATCATGCACACCACCCTGGTTTTGAATAGAGAACTTCAAGGGAAATATCAGTTTCACTGAAAAAAAAGAACTTCCTATAATCAACAGGGGGAAAATTCCAACAGTTCAAAACTTAAGTGAATACAGCTCTATGTTCCATAGGATTTTTTGGGTTCAGAGCCATACAGAGACCACTGTGCTGAATTTCTGCTTCTACCAGACTGTGGTTGTGGCCGTGGGGGAAGAAAAAAGAAAAGGGAAGGAAAAATATAAAGAAAAACACACACAAACTTTTGAAAACAAAGGAAAGGCTCCATAAAATCATGCTAGCAAAAGAGAAACTCTGACAGACACATATCAATACCACTTGCAGGTGGAAATTCATTTCTCTGACCATCAAAAGCCATGCATTGGAAGAGGAAAAGCCATCAAATGCTTCTAGGAAATCTCAGTTCTTGGATCCAATTTAGTGGAAGAGGCTGTAAAACAAGCCTTCCACCTCCTCAGCTCTAGTCTCCCAACTCTGTGTGTTATGACAGAAATCAGGACTGATGGAGCATCCAACCACATTTGAAACTATTTTTAGCATAACTAACTGCAGTTGAAAATAACCTAAAATGAGTAGAATCAAATATTAAATCACATATTCAAAACCCAATAGATTTTATCATCAAGATAACACTTCAATTAAAATATTTTTCCATCATCTGTCAGGTTGGGATTTTATTTAAATGTATTCCTAACACACTGGTTAGACTCTGCAGATGTACTTGCTAATTTTTCTTCTCTTAACCTTTCATTTTTAATAGTATTATGTAACTAATATATGCTTTTATTCTCTGATTGACTGGATTCTGAAGATGGCATTCTGTCAGAGAGGGGTGTGAGCTGCTTAGGATTGCTTCTCAGCAAAGCCTTCCACCACAAATGTTGGGGTTTTCTCCCTCATGCCTCTAAGAACTTTGATTAAAAAAGGTGCCACAATATTCCATACCAACTGAGACACACCAAGATATGCAAATGATACCAGTGTGATTAGAGATAACATATTAGTTGATGGGAAATCAGGAAGAAAGTGAGGGGGGGGAAGCTTTGTGTTTATAACTACACAGGATTCCAGCTCTATTTCACCACCAGATGCCATAACTTGGTTTTTGGAGCTGAGCAGTGTTATATTTCCAGGTTTGATATATATTTCATTAAGAATATTCAAAGAGTGAAATATTTTTTGAGGTTTTTTATTTAAATGTTACACAGTTAGGGAAGACTGGGCTATTTAAGGTCACTGAGACTTCTGTCCAAAAAAGAAAACTATAAAATTAGATCAGAAACAAGCAAAAAATGAAAGATGTAGAGTGTGTGAATGTACCTTGTCATGATAGGAACATCAGGGATAGAATTCTCACTAGGAAATTAGTGAAAATCATGTTTGAAAGCATTAGGATTTTTTACCCCAAAACCAGCTGATGCCAAAAATACTGAAAAAACTGAAATCATATTCAGAGCATGGTAATAAT